CTCGGGGCTGGTCCCCTCCTTGGGGCACAAGGGCTCTGGTGCAGGTCCCAGCTCTACAGTGGATTAAAAATATTCAAGTTGAGATTTTCCCCTCAAGAGCAGGGACCAAACCAACTGGAAGGTTTTCAAGAAGAGAGATTCTGCTCCATGTGTGTTTTACAACTGGGTATAGCAAATGCTCAATGGCCAGGCATTACAAAGGGATCCCGAATCGCTCCCAGTTCCTCTCAGCTAGACCAGGGGTCAACCCTTATAAATTGCAATTAATCCCTTGGTTTTGTTGCCTCCAAGTTCAGGCTCAATCGATTGCCTCCTTCACCCTCTCTGCAGCACCCAGCTGGGTGCATGCACAGAGAGTGAAAAGAGCCAGACTGAGCACTGCTAGGCACCAAAAACTGAACAGAGCCACCACGCCTGGGCTTCCTTCCTTGGCTTTTGAGGCAATTTGCAGAGTCTTGCACTAAATGCATGCATTGCCCCAAACACAGTCTTGTAGCGGGGACCCGCTGGGTGTTATTGCAGGGTAACACATGCAGCAAGAACAAAAGCATCAGCAGCGGCATCAGGGACAGGGAGGTAGCAGGAATTGACCAAAATATTTTGGTTTTGCAGTGGGCCATTAATCGCCTTCAATGCGCAAGGATGCAAGTGAAAGGATCACCAGAGTTTGATTATGAGTGCAAATAATATTCATATATATGTGCTAAACACAGTCACTATATTGCAGTTTTCCACTATGTCACAGCATACAGAATCAAAGGTTTGCATTTTTATGGAATGTATCCAAGGTAACAGCACCACAGTAATACAGTTTGTAATCACACACCCTGATTTTTTTCTCTTTTTTTATTTTGACAAGATAAGCATTACCCCCCACATCCCATGTTTAATTTTTTTAAAGTACCGACGCATGCAAAGCATTCCATTCCCAGAAACAATGCAAAAATGAGGTAATAGGAGTAATAAAAAAAATTAGTATTAATTTCTAAATAAATAAATTATAATTAAAAATGCAAAAAAACAACTATAAAAATAATTAAATAAGAACCCACAATATCTACAAGTTAGTCATAAATTATGATTGTTAAATATAAGGCATTTAAACTCACAAAACCCTGTAAACTATCAATGTTTTGTTCCTAGATATTTTTTGTTGTTTGTTTCGTTTTGTTTTTAGACTCACCCTATTGTCGCAACCTACTCGCACAAATTATTTAAACGCAAAGGAACCTGACACACCAATGCAACTCCAGACGCTGTGAATTCGCACACACCTCAGGATCAGTCACTCACACAAGACCACGGGAGTTTGGTGCTTTTCTTCACCAAGGTTTTTTGTTTGTGTTTGTTTGTTTGTTTGTTTTTTAAAAACTGTGCTTGTTCATTAGGCAAATAGTAATACTTTCACATAGGCTTTAAGAAAACACGCGGTTTGGAAATGCTCCTCCTTCCCTTCCCAGCCAGCCAGGGTCCCAATCACCCCGTTCCTCCCCCTGCTTTGCCCCCAGCTCACGCCTGGACAGACCAGACCAGCTTACAGTGTATTTTACCAGCAAAGCCTTGCTTTGCTTCTCCATATTATTAGTAAATTATTATTATTTTAAATGCTGCTTCAATCTGCTGCTGCTGGAGCAAGCCCCATAAGTTTTGATGGACCATTCCCTGACCCAAGGAGTCCGCAGCCCTCTGTTCAGGACTGGGACTGCTGCATCCCCTAAGAAGCCAGCGCTTGCGCTGGGTGACAAATATAGAATCATGGAATGGTTTGGGTTGGGTCATCCAGTCCAACCCCCCTGCCATGAGCAGGGACATCTTCAACTCGATCAGGTTGCTCAGAGCCCCGTCCAACCTGACCTTGAGTGTTTCCAGGGATGGGGCATCTACCACCTCTCTGGGCAATCTGTGCCAGTGTTTCACCACCCTCAGCATAAAAAATTTCTTCCTTGTATCTTCCTGATATGCCACCATGTATCCCCCTCCACTCCCTGCCACCTGCACGGGCACAGCAAGAGAGGGGATCCTGCATCCTTGCACTCTGCACTTTCCCTCCGCGCTCCATTTGGGAAAAAAAAGAAAATTTCTTGGGTGCTTCTGAGGTTGGTGTTTTCCTATTACAGCTCACGGGAATCCCACGATCTCTCCAATGATATTTTATGGTTGTTTCTACTTGGAGAGCATTGCTTGGCTCCAGCGAAACAGATGCTCAGGGGAGCCAGAAATCATCCCCGCCACATCAGCATTTTCAATATATAATGTTTCTGACTAATTCCCCTTGCTCTTTGGCATCTTTCTTTTGCTCCCCTAGTATGCAAAAAAAAAAAAAAAAAAAAAAAAGTATTTAACAAAAAAAAAAGAAAAAAAGAGGGTTTTGGTCGTGAATGCCGGTTGTCCAGAGGGTTTTCAGCTCAGTTCCTGCAGTTGGCATGCTGAGGTCTTTATTTCAGAGGCAGCTTGGATTGCAACAGCTCACTCCTTTGGGGACTACCTCCTAATTCTGTTTTGAGCATTAATGCAATTAGGTTTCACTTGAACCACCACCCCACTCTCCATACAGATACGTCCTGAAACAAACGTACGTGGGTGCAGGTGCACACGCGTTGAGGCAGTGTTGCAACCCAGGCCCTCCAGAAAGCAGCAAACCCCCTTCCAATCTGCCTTCCCCTCCTGCACCAAAACGCTCATGGCCTCAGAAGTGCCTTGTGAGCAGCGAGCTTTCTCCCGTCCTGTCATCAGAGATGGTTTTGCATGGGAGAGGAATCGGCAGTGTACATCTCCCAGCACCTCTGCAGCATTATTGTACCCCAAAGCACAGCTATAGGCCCTGACTCCAGTAACCATCATTTTGGACCAGTGCTGGCAGTGGCTGCTGAAGCCAACCAGCCTCACAGCTCACAGGAGAAAGCATCATGGACAATGGCAATCATGAAGACAGCCTTTCCTTGGATTTTGATATGCCATGCTACATTGTTAAGATACAGAAAGCAGAGAAACAGCATCTACTCCAATATTGTCCCCCTACAGAAAGCGCCCAGCACCAGCAGATATTGAAGCTTCTCCCTATTGCTTCATTAATTTCATTGCCAATTTTTATTTTTTTAAGCTTCCCTAAATTTGCAACACACTGTAAACTCAAGCGTACGTGGCTGAGGCAAAGAGCACAACCCTTCTGACTGTAAACAGGATTTTGCTTTTTCGCCTCTTCCCCAGAAGGGTGGGAAAGCTTGAGCTCTTTATTCCCCTCTGCAATGTATTAATCAGGCACCAAAATAAGAAATCTATGAAAAAATATTTGGTGCAAATTAGGTAACAGCAACATGTCCACCACAAGATGAGTAGGGCATCAAACACAACATTTCTTAAGCTAACATGCTCCAGCTGCCATCCATAGAAATAGCTAAAGGACCCCTAACATGTTTCTACGTATTCGAGAGGTATATATACAATCCTCATGAAATGCAGGATTGACAGGCCAGACTACCACAACTAGTTCCTTCATATTCAACACTAAATCTTCTGCAGCACGGGGTCTCTGAGCTCCGGGAATGCCAGCTCCCTTTCACCGGGCCCGTATCCTGCGTATGTGCAGTATCTCCTACTGCTAGATATTGTACTGCCACCTCCTCCTCCTCACTAACGTGCCTGCAGACTTTTCCTCTCAATCAAATGGCTCAGAAGGCAAAAATTTTGCTGCAAGGGTTTATGGCCATACGACCTGGTAAGGAAAATGGTGTGTCCAGCCAGTCCTTTCAGCTGTCCGAGCCGAGCTGTGTTTCAATGTCCACCCTGCAGATTGGGCACTTCTTGCTGGTGGCCAGCCACTGGTCCACGCACACTTGGTGGAAGAGATGCATACAGGGCAACCGCCTGCAGAGAGACAAGTACCATTCCGTTAGGAAGGAGGAGGTCCAGGGGACCAAGAACAGCCAGCAAGCAGCAGCCGGTGCTGCTTCTAATATGGGGAAGCACAGATGTAGTGACACCGGTGCTGTCTAGGTCCTACATCTTCCCCCAGTCACGCCAGCTCACATAGGGCAGTAGGTCAGAGATGGTGTCCTTCCTGGCTAAAAGTCTTTTAGAAAGCCCCACATGCTCCTGAATTGAGTTGTTCCAGTTATTAATTACCCTGGCTGATGCTTTTTAACCTTTCAGGAGTATTAGGTTATACTCCAAAGCCTCTTGGTTTTTCATCATTGCCACTCGTTAGCAGTCAGGTGGGTCCCCACTGCTCCTGCACGGGTGTCTGGTGTGCCGCAGGGAATGTGTTTGCTTTTCACCTACAGCACCTTTGTCATCTCTTTACTTATCCCTCACAAGCCAGAGGGACCCTGAAGGACAAGGACCCCAAGCAAGAGGATCAGAGTTTTTCTTATTGGTTTAAGGCAATTAAAGGGTGAGGAGCAGGACCACGTAGTGCAGCTGCACTGCCCACCTGCAGCTCCTTCAGCCATGGTAGCTCATCCCCTTGCAATTGCTTGTCCCCATCCTCTGTCACAAGCAGAGATTCAATGCAGTCAAGAGCCTGGGGATGTCTGTGAGAGATAACTGGGGCTTTGCTGTTGGCTCAGGACGGCTCCCTGTGACCATGCAGGCAGAGTAATCTCACTTATTCTACAACAAAGCAGCTCCGTCCTGGCCACAAGCCAAACTCCCCTGGGCTTCACACCCACACTCCCTTTTCTAGTACTTTGGTCATCTGTCAAGCTCAGATGTTGGCGTCCCTGAGCTCCAGATGGCAGTCTGAGACCTGGGACCCATCCATCTCTGACACCTGCCACCAGGCCCATTCTTACATACAGCCCATACCAATATCCGTCTAAATGGCGTTTGGTTTCCCAGACCCTGCAACAGCCCAACTGAGTTTGTTAGGACAAGAACAGGGACAATCCCACCAGCGCACGGTGGCATTAATCCCAATAAACACAGCTCAGATGGCACTGAGAGGCAGAGGAGCAAATGGAAGGATTGTACCTGACGTCTTCTCCATCTTCAAGCATGGACAAACAGATTGTGCATTTCTCGTCAGTGTCCGACTCTTCTCCATCTTCTTGCTCAGCTTTGCCCTCCTGCGGTCTTCTCTGCAGCAAGGTTAAAGACATATTTTGGTTAGGACTTGACTTTCTAAAGCTCTCCCAAGCCTGGGTAGTTGCAGGAAGGCAAATAATAAGAGTTGCGTCTATCAGCCATATCTTCCAGCTTGGGGAAGCCGGTCCAACCAAAACAGCCAGTGAGAGGAGGATTCCATCAACATGCTGCTGGTCGGCACGTCTCCTCCTGAGGCCAGTGGCAGTGGAGCTGGTGGTAGTGCCTCAAGAGCAGACTGTCCTCTGTTGCCCTAACACAACCCCTTGCCACCTCCACCATCCTCCGTAGAGTGGGGATGGCCCCATGGTCTCCTTTGCTGGAGACTTCTCCTGGAGACCCCAAAGCATGTGGGGCCACCACTGCCAGGAAGGGCAACCACTGTGCCCCATGCAAGATTGGCCACTGGCGCAGCCTCACATTGTGCCATGGGGCAGTGCTTTGCCTGTCAGCTCTCCCCTTTTCTCTCCCCCCCACACATCCATTCCTATTAATATCATTTTTCTGGATCCATTGGAGGTGTGGTCAGAGATAAGCGCAGCAGGAGTTGACTCACTTCCAACATGGGCAATGCAATGCCCCTACTTGTTACTGCCCAGCCGCGAATGACCGACACGTGAAACTACTACGCAAACAATCACTTTTCCCATTTTCCATTTAGCATGACCCAAAACACATGGCACCCATTTCCTTACGGGCAGGAGATCAGCTCCAACAGAGGAGACACCTCTTGCAATACAAGGGGAGAACAAGCTCCCCCAACGCCATGGAGCCAGCGCCCTCATGGCGGGGCATGCGGGCGGCGCCGCTTGCATGCAGAACGGGATGGGTTTGCATGCACGAAGCCCCCTTGGTGTGTGCACTTTCTTACCAGGTGCGGACAGGGGGGAAATTGCACCCGCTGGGTGGGAGAAGGTTGAGACCCTTTTGAAAATTTGGCCCGCAGCTTTCTAGCCTAGAAGTGAGAAACAGCCAGCTGAGCTACACCACCGCTTCAGCCCGGGAGCCCCCACAAGATATTAAAGCACCAGTTCTGGATTTTACATTCTTCCCCCATTTCGGGGAATATTGACGGCGCTGGTTTGCGAACCTTGCGGATTGTGAGCCACCAAATCCTTCCTTCTGTCCACTCTGTGCCCACAACCCTTGGCCAACTAAGAGGGGCAGGAAGCTGTGCCGCGGTTTCAGGGTGCTCACCTTCTTGTACTTGTGGGGGAAGGTGAACCTCTCGATGGTGTTCTGGACGGCACCCCGGCTCACGCTGCCCAGCCTGTCCTCCAGCTGCAGCAGCTCCTGCAGTGCAGGAACAGCAGCAAAGCACCTGTTCAGCATTGTTCCTGGGGCATGAGGTCCCACCACCCCACCCTCCCCACTGAGGACCACGGCTCTCTCTTGTCCTTTCCTTGGTAGAAATGTCCATCAAACCCAAAAATCAATCGCACTTTAATGATGGATCTGAGCCCTGGCTCTTGGACTGATAACTAAGGGTTCAAGGCGGAGAGCAGAGAGCTGGACATCCAATATTTCAAAAATTAGGGTGGAATTTGAGCGCTGTTTGACAGGCTGGGAAACAAACCCCATAGAGAACACTTTGTGTTCAGAGACACAAAGTGAGCCAGAGTCAACCCGAGCCAGACCCAGGCACCCTGGAGTAAACCGTCTTCTACCAAACCCGCTAAACCCCTTCGCCTCCCAGTTATTACTCAAATTGCTGCAAGACTCAATGCAACTGCCATGCCACAAAACAGTCTTACAAGCTTATGCCAGAGCTTGCATAGATTCCCAGCACTTAAAAATTTAATAATAATTCCAGCCCCCAACATACGTACTTCATAGCTCTCCCGCACAGCGGATGTGTGCCTGCTTGTATTCAGTCCCTGAAGAGCAAGTAACTGAAGCTGAGGATAAGGGTAATTTCTGATTTCATGAACAACCTGCAAGAAGCGAGGGAGAAAAATAAAGCCACCTCTACTTGCACATAGAAATCCCTTCTGTACCCTGATTTAAATCTACTGCTTTAAAAATTCAAAATGAAAGAGCAGACCAACACTTTCTCCAATAAAAACTTCTTAATAATCAAAATAAGAGGTTTTATTAAATAGATCTCCTATAAATTATAACTAAGAACATGCATTTCTTCTGAATTATCTATCTGCTGTAATAATTCTTTTTGCATCTAAAACATCGCAGTTCCAAACTCTCAACATGGATTAGCTTAAAAGAAATTTTATTTAGTTTTAAATGGATGGATTTCTCTTCATCTAAGCTTTGATTTTTTAAGCCTCGCTGTAGTATACAGATGTCAGGATTTGACTATGGGCATGAGGAAGAAATACCCTCATGGGATTTCTGAGGATGTTTTTAGGATTAGCAGTGCTTGGCACAGCTCAGGTCCAAATACAGCACCCTGCTAGGAGAAGGGCTGGCAAATGACCCCAGTCAGCCCACCTTCTCGTCAAACCCTATCTCCACCTGTGCAAAACCTTTACAGATGACATCAAGACTGATTTAGAGAGCAATGATGTCATGAGGGATGGTCCTTGGGGCTGACCCAGGGAAGAGAATCACCTGCTGTTAATCCTTCTGCATACAAAAAGTCCTGGGAGCCCACAATTTGTTCCAGTATTAATAATATTTTTAGTAATAACTGCTGAGTCTCTCACATCCTGCCCAGGTTTTGCAGACCAGCTTGTGAGCGTGGTGCTGCACATGATGGACCGAATCTTTCCAGAGCAGCTGAGCTTTTCTTTCCTTTCTCTAATCCGGAGTGCAATGATGCAACATTATCCTTGCAGACACTCCCTCCCACGGCCGGAGATAAGTGGGATTCACAGAAGACAGGTGATAGAAAGATAGCAGCCTTTATTTTGACTGCCTTCTGGCAGACAATGCATAAAACATTTCTCGGTGAAAGCGTTTCACTTACCATCTGCGTTGAGGATGTGCTTCTGGGGAAATGGTGCATGCGAGGTGTAGCTAAGTAATGCTGATAGGGCTGAGGGACCGGCCGGACCTGGAACTGGGTGTGAGTCAGTCCCGCATCGACACTGAGGTCCCTGTGGACACGAGGATGAAGGTACAGCTTTGACTACATGGTTTTATTGCATGGCTTACAGCAAGTCAGATCATGCTCACAGGGCAACCTCCACTGGTGGGTTCTGGCCTGCTGTGGGTTCCTTAACCAGGGGTGATGCTACTGCTTGCAAGGGAGTTTCCTCCATTTTGAGCAATCGCACACCAGGCCAGCATGAAGGAGTGAGGGGTTGTTTTAACGCCAGTTAACATTTGTGTTAGCTGGGGTCAAGAGCTGCACAGATGCAGCCTGCTAATTTCAGAGCAAGAGCATTTTGGAGGCTCCGATCACTACCCAGGCTCAGTAACCCAACCCGGGCGATCAAGTCCTCCCTGTGCTGCCATCACTGCAAACAATTACATTTTACCTTGAATATTTTGCAGGAATACAGCTAATTACTCAGGGGAGTACACATTGATGAACCATTCTGGGTAGGTGTAAGGAAGCAGCTAGGCACCACGCAGGGACTTTTTTATGTGCCTGTGCTCTTCTTGGAAGTCTCCCAGCCCAGGTCATGGCAGGACTTGGGGAGACAGGGGAGACCTGAACCTCACCTGAACCCAGCCTCAGGGAACTCCAGAACTGCTGTTTGTGCAGAAAATAAAAAGTTTTAAAGAAATTTCTGGATTGGACTACTGTAGGAAAGGGTGTCACACAACCAGCAGGCTAACACCAATGAAGCAGGGCATCCCTGATGGTCTCACTCACCAACACACAGCCTGGCCTGGGCAAGCAGAGCTGGGGCTCAGCTTGGTGAGTTTGGGCACCTTTTTCCTCCATAAAAATAACCCAGCTCAATCCCAGGACATGGCATGACCAGGATCCCAGCAAACTCCCAGCTCTGCACAATCCAGCACGCAGAGACAAACTGCAACACCATCCCCATACCGTGTGGAGGGGATGGGAGGAGACAGTATCTCCATCTATAATCCAATTAGCTGATCCCTCCTCTCTCCAGCCAAAGAGTCTCTCAGCAAACAAGTGCTTTGAACATCATTCACTTTATAATAATTACAAAAGCCGGTGCTCTAATAACCGTTGTCTTCACATTTGCCAAAGCTAAAGCTCATTAGAGCACAGGGGTGGCTTCCCGTTTCATCCTCAAACTTCTCTTCCCCTCCATGGAAGACAGTATCAGCAAACGCCACAGCTTGTTAGGAACAACCCAGACACGTCCTCCAGCAGCTGCGGAACTGCGTTTGCCCAGCAGCAGGTAACAGATGTGAGGGGACAATAAGTGCAGAAATCCTTTACCCAGAACAGCCCGTGTACCAGGCACCAGCTCCCGTGCTTTACTGATCCCCAGTAAGTATCCCCGCAGCAAGGTGAAGCAAATAGAGGGACTATCTTTGCTGGCCCGATGCTAGCCAAATCCTAGACAGACAAAACTGGCAGAGGGTAAAACACAGCAGGCAACTGGCAGGAGCACAACCAGGGTGAGAATTGGCAGGACTGAGCGTTTCCAGTTCCCATGTCATGATTTTGGAGACCTATCCAATTGCTGAAGACTGTTCCCAGGTGGATGGAAGGCTCCACTGGAAATCAGGAGGCTTTGGGGCCATTCCCAGCCCTGTCACTGGCCTGATGCGTGACCTTGACCACTTCCTCTCTATCTTCCCATATTCCCTGTACTCAAAATAGATGCGATAATCTGCAGAGTGCTTTGAGACCAAGGACTGAAGAAATATCTCAAAGATGAATGGCCATTATTAACTTGCACAAGTAACTGCAACTGCACTGCTGAATTATTTGTGCACTGGTGCATCTAGATCGTTAAAATCAGATATTGAGGCTCCTGAAGTGATGCTGTGGATCTACAGAATACTTCATGAAATGGTGTTTTCTCAGGGTTTGTGGGTGAATAAGCAGAGCACATTAGCTGAAGAAAACCAAAACCAACCATCACCTTCTGGCCTGTGCTACATAGACAACTGTACATCATCTTGACGCTCAGATGTGAAGTTCAAGAGCTATGATGCCTATGATACACAGGCTGCCAACAACCAAAAAGCGAAAGATAAGGATCCACATAATAGGTTGGATGGTTTTCACTAAATGCGGATGCAGAAGATGATTTAAGGAACCAAATGGGAGTTCATTGCTTCTTCACCAGAAGATTTTAATCAAGGTTGGGCTGTCCAAGATGACCAATCACCTTCAGATCTTCCTTCCATCCCCATTTCCCGCGACAGTGCCTACCACCTACTGCCTCCGAGCGAGCGCCGCTGCTGCTCATGTGGTGGTAACACATTAGAGGAAAGAATTTATATCTGTCACTGAGCAAAACTGTACACGTGCCCGAAGGGAAAGTGAGTCACCCAAATATATATACACAGTATATGATTTCTGTCATCTCCACTCCTTACGTTTTAAACGGCTATGGAGTAACACAGGGGGTAAAAGGAGGGAGGAGGAGCGGAAGATAAAGCGATGCTTTATCAGATCCTTCTAATGATTGTAATTAAACACTCTGTGCCAAAAGAGAGGCAGAAAGAATGGCTCTATCCCAGTGGTATGTGAACTGCTTTGCAAACTGATCTGAACAATATACACCCAGCCAAATTCAGCCCACAGTGGTGCCAGTAATGGGAACACCTGAGAAGAAAATGGCGGAAGGATCTGGATTTTAGGTTGCATATTATTACCCTGGAGGGGGAAAAAACCCCTGTGTTAAAAGGACTCTCTATTTGCAGAGAAAAGCACTCAGATGTTAGGAAATGCCTTAATAAAGATTTCCCGTGACATTTTATTTCGGTCCACTTGTGCATATACATTGCGATTGTCTCTAATTACATGTTCACATGCTATTTTTTCCATTCAATGCACAGAATGGACTTTGCTCAGCTAACAAGCAGCTACTCAGAAGTATGTTTTTATTTTCTTATTCTTTCAAGTAGGACCCCATACCTTATTAACTGTGCAAGAGGTCAAAACCTGCTCTGAAAACGAAACGATCAATTCCCTGCTCGGCTTTTCCAGGTCATTGAACACTATACCGGGAGAACGATTAACAGCCATTAATTCATTCACACCACCCTTCGGGGCAGGGCAGCACCGTGGTCCCTAAGTTAGACCACAGAAAAAGTTGTGGCCACTGTTTTTTGAGTGCCTGGTGGACAGCAGAAGATCTAGTTCAGGAAGAGATGTTGGTCTACAGGAAAAAGACCCTGGCTGTGCCCTGCAGCAGGAAAAGCTCCTGGAGGAAGATCAACGTTTGGCTGCAGTCTACATCCATGGGTGGAGAATTATGGGCAATATTGGTGCCTCAATGTTATCATATACATGCGTAAGGGCTTTAGCACACACTCACGGCCCTCCCAGAGGTGAGTTTTCCCATCGCATACTCCCCCATGTTGTGTCCGTTCAGCTGAACCATTATTAGCTTTCATGAAAGCATTGACCCGTGATGACATTCACCAATCCTTGCAGCCTCCCCAGCACTTTTTAAACACTTCATTCAACACTTCAGTGAAATGTGGAAGACTTACCAGTCCGTGCCTTCAGCTAAATACCTGGGCTGGGGCCCCATGGGTTGTGGAGTTTGCAGTTGGTGGCTGAAGTCAAAGCTGGGGTGTAGACGGTGAGGCTGAACGGACATGCGCTCTTGAGCCCGCCTGCGGGGAAGAGACCAGCAAGGGAGTTAGCCACGCATCGGGCGCTGGTATGTACAGTTCCTGCTCTGAGCCTGTGTCGATAAACCAGGGGAAAAACCAGACGGCTGGGCTTTTGAATACATGTCCAAGAGAAAAGATTGCGGGCAGGTGTCAGGGATGATGGGAAGAGGAACCAACAGTTATGTCATTTAGTTGTGGTCCCCACAGACATAATGCAGACCTCCACTCACCCCCTGTGGCGTCCACATACACTCAGTTTACAGGAGATGCTATTTTGTGGCGACATGGAGAGAAAAAGAGGAAAGCAAACAACCTCTTCCTTAGCAGCTTTGTGCTATTTGCACTATTTTCATTTTATCCATTGTCAGCCCCATAAACAACACACAAGATAAAACATGTCCCTGCTTCAGCTGTTATCCATCACCATAAAGAAGCTGCAGATTGTCTTGTCTCCCCATGCAGTCCATAAACTCCTGGGGAACCTCATTCATAATGGGGTTACTCAGGAGTAACTGAAAGCAGAATTTGCTCTTGCTGCCCATTGCCAACATTTCTCTGGATGATGGACAGGCCAGGCTGGGATCCAGCTTCTTCTCCTACCACTCTGCAGGCAGGGAAGGGAAAATGGTAAATATATAGCAAGGTTTTTCTGGGGATTTGAGTCTCTTCTCATTATTATTGCCCATTTGAACTACTCAGGGGAAGAGCATGTGCTTCTTGATCAGCGTTCACATTTTAGAAGATACAAGGTGGATGCACAAGCAGGATTTGCACTACAAACAGACACAGACCCCTTGCTCCCCGCAGAGTCCCTGCTTACCAGTGGAGCCATCGCAAAGCAAAACTATGGGAAAACACTAGAGCAAACAGAGCAGGGAACTGCTAGATAAAGAATTTTTTCATCCAGCCACAGCTCAGAGGCTTCACTTTTGAAGGCACAACCCAGATTCCCATTACTGGGACCTCATGCCCCACACCTGTAAGGTTTCTGACACCCTCCTCTGATGCAGCACTCTGATGCAGTGATTTCAGAAACAGGCTGTGGGACTGGGCAAGAGGTTCCTGCCCTTTTCCACACCACAACCCACTTGCAAATGTAACACTGACAGCATTTACCAAAGCAGCTTCTGCGTGGAATTGTGCTCCGTGCTTTTATTTGAATTCAGCTTATGACTAAGAGATAAATAACTTGCATCATCAATGCCTCAGCCCTGAACATATTTACTACATAATTATTAACTAATCATTAAATCCACCTAAAATCCAGTTTATGCAAAACAAAACAAGGATGAGAAGAACACACAATTTTCAGACAGAACCGGTATGGAAAGAAAGCGTTTTCTGTCTGTAGCATTCTGTCCAAATGAAGCATTATCACAAAGACTCATATTCTGATTCTTGATCCATGGGTACAACCCACAAATAGCTTCCATATGTTTCCAAAAAAAGCACTCCTCTCCTACATTCTATCTAAACCACTCTCTCAAGAAACACAATCAGGACAAGGCCAGGCATCCATTTCCACCTCTGCTGAGTTACAATAATTCTCTCTGCAGTCGTCAGCTCGGTCTGAATTTAGTCTGCTTTCTGTGATTGAATATGCTGCAGGTCAACAGCATCATTCTCTCATCAGGTTGTGAAGTCTATCTAGACCCAGAGGAGCTAGCTCATCATGTGTGAAACCTGACGGGACGGGTGGATACAATCTCTTACGTGGATTTGAAACAGCAGCTATGAGGAGATGGCTCGTGCATGCAGTCTGTCGCTCGCTCTCTCATGCAGGACACCAAGGTGTTACCACCATGCTGTTACCATCCTATAGATGACCTTGGGACATATTAGAAGAGCATGGTATAGATCCCCATGGAAAAGGTACACCTGCAGGTGCAACCTACCCTTGCAGCTTCCCTTCTGGTGGATGAATTTTGGGGGTACACAAATGAACTTGTGAAGAACACCCAACATTACCAGCTCATACTGCCGGGGTTTTGCAGAGGCCACTTTGCTGCAGTGAGGCTGATGAAGCTTCTCAGCGTCCTTCAGGAAGAGCAAGACCCCCTTACCTGTGATGAGGCATGAGCCGGCGGTGCTGTGCCTCGAGGAGCTGCTGCTGGAGGAGGTATTGCTGGTGAAGCGCCTGAGGTAGGAAGGAGGGTCCGGCCACGTCCTGGAAGGGCAGGGCTGGCACCGGCGCCAGGGGCTGGTGCAGGGGGCCGCTGTGCTGGTGCGCGGGGGCCAT